TACGGGCTTGGACATTAGCTCATTACTTCATTGTATTGCTCTATATGGATGGTTTTCTCGGTGCATTTGTATTCTCTGCTTGGGACACGACTACTTGTTCAGCTGTGTGATTTCGCAACTTGGTTTTATGTATATTGCTCACACTCATTTTCCTTGCACAGACTAAGTTCACAAATTTTGACAAAAGTATTAATGACTCAATTACCCAGGAAACAAAAAACAACGATTTGTTTTCTTTCATCTGTTTCGCGTTTTTGTTTGGGTTTCCCACTCAAGCTCCAGTCTCCTACTTCATGTCCGCAAGTCCAAGGATTGTATCCTTTATTTTTTTTTGGAGGAATTTTATACTGGAGTTTTTATTCGCATGAATAATAACGATATACTGAACATAGGAAATACAAAGCAATCGAAATTGATTCATGTGAATGTATAGTCTCTGAGGATTCCAAACAGCTCGGCGGTCGCTGGCTTCCATTATTCCACAGGCCGTTGTGAAATCTCCGCCAACGCAGCCTGTGTTTTACATATGATTTTCTTTGTTAACAGGAGAATCATACTGATCGTGTAAAACAAAGACCCTTAATACAGGCGGTCCTAAGTACAACGAAGTTGCCTCTACCAAGAGAATTCGGGAACGCCTTCAACTTTTTTGTCTGTGTGCCGGCACAAAGTGTCGAGTCAGAGTTTCCATAGTAGTACATGAAAATGGAAGGGAAACAGTCAGTAGTCTTGCCAAACTGATGGAGAGCCGTGTGCTTGGAAATCTTGCACGCACGGTTCGGAGGGAAGCTTAGTCAGATTACACACACTGCTTACCCTATCTATTGGGTCGTCGGTTCAAATCCGACCTAGGGAGCTGGTCTGCATTCAAATATACGGTCGACCGGCATTCTGTCTATTGTAAATTATAATCTAATCTAAATACATTAGAGACATTGTACAAGCGCTTTGTTGCCTGCCTCTCTACGTGCGGCCAGGTTGCGGATCTCGAGTGCAGGGCGGCTCCAACTTCGCCACACCATCTCAAGCTGGCCCAGGCCTTCTTATATAAAATCTATTAGTTATAATTCCTCTTTTCATCATCTATGAGTTAGATGAATATCTCTATTTAGTTATATCAATTCACTAATTTTATGCACATTTTATTCTAGTGTTTTCTCTACTTATACATTCTTTATATACACTTTCAATTTTTCTATACACCTAAAAGATGCAAAGGTCCCAGCGACACATGCAGTCGCGGGCCCAGCAGAAACCAGCGAAGGGGCGGAGGTAAGGCCCAGGGAGATTGGTACCCACCAGCAGCCTAGGGACGGAACGCGTTCCCGAAACGGCAGGACGCGGACCCGGCGACAGGCAGAGAAACGGAACCGGAGGTGAGGCCCGCGCATAGGTGAAACGGTGGCACACGTGGGGGTGAGGCCTGAAATGTGGTCCACGCGCGTCGATGCCGACGCGAAACAGAGGAAGGGCCGCGCGCGTCTCGCGGAGGTGAGGCAAACGACACAGAGGGCCGACACTGAGAGTCGAGCCGCGCAGACTGCCCCGTGCAAACAGCGGGCGGGTGAGGGCGCGGTCCACAGGACGAGCGGGAGGAGGAGCGGGAGGACGAAGGGGGGAAGAGCAGGAGGAGCAGCGAAAGGAGGGGGAAGAAGAGCGGGAGGAGCAGAGGAGGGCCAGCGGGAGAAGGGCGATCCACCATCTGTTATTGTTGAGCGGTGTGAAAGGGAGGACG